GATGAGCAAAGTTGCCATCTGTGGGCATAGAACAAAATTAAGTTTACCTCTAAACGTCCCAGGCCCCATCCCTAGAAACTGGCCATATATGCATGCAAACCCAAGCCCAGAAAAATACAGCCATTTCCTCATGAGTAGAAGCTCTAAAGGTTAAGATGGATCTTTAATTATGAGATCTCTTTCAGAGCAAGTGGTAGAAGTGGGCAGGAAGGATAAGGAAGTCTCATCAGGTGCTAGTATTGCCTCAGTTTCCCTTCACTCACAGGGACATTAGCCTGCTAACTATCCACCCCTCCCAAGGTAGAGAAAAACTGGCTCCACCAATTAGTTCTTCACCCTTTTTCCAGTCCATGCCAAAACTCTCTGTATTAAAAAGTCTAAGAAATCCTATCCACTCACGCAGGGAAATGAAATGCAAGAGCTGTTTCCCTGGCTGCAGCTCCGGCAGACACTGCAAGGGTCTGCCTGGCTTCCTCCTTCTACCCCCACCACCATTCCCCGCTCAAGCAGGAATTCCCCCCTCCTTACACAAACACCTTGCAGTATTAGCTAGCATACCACAAGCCTGGTATTAGAGGTGTGCGAAGCAGGCCCTACTGGATTCGGACAGATTCGGCCCAAATTAGGGACAGTGATTTGATTAGTTGATTCGGATCACTGTCCCTGATTCGATTTGGCAAATCTGAATCTGAATATTCGATGCCAATTCGGAGAATAAGTGATTTGGACATAGACACAGCTTTAAATGTTTTTTTCTACATACTTCAAGGTACCAGCATGGCTTGTGAACGCTGCAATATTGGGGCGCATGGAGTATCCCACAAGTCTTCAATTCAGAGAAACTAAAAGGTCCTCTGATTCGATTTGGAGATTCAGCCACCAAATCGAGCCAAATCTCCACCAAATCGAATCAGGAACCAAAGCTTCACACAGCCCTACTGGCTATGGTCTGTGCTGTGGGAGACAAGAAAAAGGCAGACAGGACAGTGTCCGCTTAGGGCTTTTTGGAGCTAATCAACAGGTAATGTCTCTCCATTCCTTCCTTGGAAAAAGTTGTTTAAGAGTTTGAACTAATGAGAGAGGCTGTTTTGTTTGATGGGCTGATAAATGCTAACAGCTCCCTGCTGTGTAACTGAATACTCTGTTATCAACAGCAAAGTGGAGGGAGGGGCTCCCTAATCAGAACATCCTGCCACAGCCTGGCCATGCTCCCTCAGCTCAGCACTGTTGAAAGGAAGGGAGAGCTGCTCTAGCACCCCCCAGCTTCTAGACTGAGCCACTGCAGGCAAGTGCCTGCATTTCTTCAGTCCAAAGATGTCTGTACAGCTACAAACCAGTTTAGCCTAGCCAGGTTAGACTAACCTGCAAAAACTGAATCAATTCAGACTCAGGCTTTTTGAATGTCTGTCCTTAGCCCTAGAGGGTAGATGGAGGGCAGCAGGTGGTGCTGTTTCTTTCAAGGTCTTTCAATCAGCAAAAGTTACCACAACAGGAATGATTTCTCCATTACTGGAGAAAAGGGAGCTCTTTTATAACCTTACCTTTCCTCCCCAGCCTGCATTGCTGGCAAGGTTTCTACACGTTCTATGAGTCATTCTGAATTACAAAAATCAGAATGTTTTATCACTAGAACAAAATGGAGAGAAGCTGCAAACCTGCTGACAGCCCTTGTTACAATGAAAGGTTTTCCACCACACACTTTCAAATAAGCAAAATTTTCATAAATGCCAAAGGGAAAATGTTATGCCTGAGTTTCTTTCAGTTTCCTGTGGGACAAACAGCAAAAAGTTCACAAGTGTAAACCCACATTTAAAATGTTTGGTTTGGTTTTAGATCTTTTTAGAACACTGTTCTTTTCACAGCTGTCACTTTTCATATGTCCACTGCTTTACTATTCCTCTCTCTCACTCTCTCTTGCTCTTTCCCCAGCAGCTGTTGCTGCTCTTTCTGAAACACGCAAGTATAGAACTGTTATTGTAGTGCTGGAAAGTAATCAAAAAGGTTCTCCCAAACCTTGCAACCCATTGAGTTGGCATGGTTAACATGCACCACATAAGGGAGGGATATGGCTAGCATCCCATACAACTGCCTGTGGGACTCCCGGCTGAATGACCACATCTCCATTTCCAGCTTGGGATAGCCTTTGGTTCAAGCCTGGGACAAGGTTCAAACTGATGCTGCCGGAGATGTAATAAGATACCTTGACTACTCAGAAACCTTTCCCCATCAGGACAATGCAGGATCTTCTAAATTAGAATGGTTTAAATGTGGTTTAAACCTCAAGCATCCAGGGGTGCCTGTACACAAGTGAAGAGGCTGCTCCAATGTGCTGTAATTTACAGCATGTCAGAGCAGACTCAATTAATAGAGTCTTCTGCTTGGTAATTACTGTGCTCCAGCCAGCCTCTGCGTTTCATGTAGCAATGTCCCTGCACTTCAAAACAGCCATGGGAGCGCTTTAACTAAAGCCCATTGAACAAGCTTTAGTTCAAGCACCCCCGACACCATTTTGAAGTGTGGGGACTCTGATACATGAGATGCTGTGGCACTTTAATTAAAGTAGCTCTCGAAGCCACACTAAATAAAGCTCCCCCTCCTCCAGTCCCCAGAGTACATGTAAAAGTGCCCCAGATGTATAAACCAGTTTAAAATGGTTTAAACCTTCTAACCACCTCAAAAATACACCTGAATAATCAAGTGTTATTTTGAACTGGTTCAGTGTTGTGTGTGAACACCAAGCTTTCAGTGATTAGTGTCTGGTCTCACACTGCATTGCTCCCCACCCCATCCCCTACCCCTAAATGGCAACTGGGTGGTCTGGTTCAAAGCCTGAATTCTACAACCCCAACCTCCACTGCCTGCTCTTGACAGCAATGCCCTAGCTGGTGGCCCTGGGAGCAGCGCTCTGTCACTTTTAGAGCTGGCCAACTTCCTTCTGTTGGTGACAACTGACCAAGTTTCCATGCATCCCAGGCTTATTTGGGGTGGGAGGTGGCCAAGTGGGAGAGACCTGGACCCCTGCATGTGTGTACCTGGGACTTGACGGTTCCAGGGGCCACCCAGGACACCACTGCAACCAGTGGAAGAAAACTGACCAGCTCTTTAAAGCTGCGCCCTGAGCCCCAACCACCAGGCACATGGGATGCAGGGGTCCAGGCAGTCTACCACTGCCTTAAACACACACATGTAGGCACTCCCAGGCAGAGTACTACCACACAGATTTCAGCAAAGTGCAGGAACAGGCCATTATTGAACTCAGTGTTAACAAGAAGGGGGAGCAGAAAATTGCAATTGGGCTGGGTACTCACTACCACCCTGTGGTGCCAGCTTGACAGCACTGCAATATCTAAAAGGCAACAGCTCTACTTGGAATACCTTGGCAATGTATGTGTGGACATCTCGGACCTGGGACAACTGCAAACCCACTCAGTGACATTTTTGGAATGGTTCAAGTGTTGTGTCTGTTCAAACCCTCGTTGGCTAAATAGCTGAGAGAAGATGCTCAATTCATTCTCCATAAAGATTTTCAACAACAAGAAATAAATTGAAAAAAAAAAAAAAAGAAGCCAATAAAGCTGGATGCAAAATGCTGACAGTTTGTGCTTGAAGTTTTGGGGAGTGGAAGAAGAGGTCCCCCTCTGCCCAAACCTTTATAAAGAAAAGTCCATTTTCAGGACAAAAATATTTCGGTTGAAAATTTCCAGTGAGCTCCAGTTTTTAGCCAGAGGCTGACACCTACAAAGGATGGAGGATGGGAGTCACCTCCAAGGAGGATTATTCTGCATTGGTCCGGTCCTGCAGGGAGCATACCAGGAAATCCAAGGCTGCAACTGAACTCCAACTAGCTTCGAGTATCAAGGACAATAAAAAGTCCTTTTTCAGATATGTGGGGAGCCGGAGGAAAAGCAGGGGCAACGTTGGACCCCTGCT